AAAATCACGGTGGGCGTTGATCAAACCCTCGAGACGGACACCACACGGGCTGCACGGGCAGACACATTGGGGGAGTTCATGCAGCCTCCAACAGCACCGGGCAGGGAAGAAGTCAGTGACGGCGGGGACTGGACTGGTGGGGTTACAAACGGCCAAGGCACCATGCGTGAGGGTGGTGCAACGGACGACCAAGGCACCATGCGTGAGGGTGGTGCAACGCCCGCAGTCCCGTCCGGTGATGGCTCAGTGACAGGTCCAGGGGCTGGCATGTTCAAACAGGCGTCTATTCGGCGGTGGACAGAGAACTCCTCACAACAGCGCTTGGACATTGCATGGGGGATGCACTTGTACGAGCACGGTGCTCCCTTCAACTATGTGACAGGGGAGAAGACTCATGAACTCCATGACCTTTACTTGGAGTTGGGGGAGAAGAGGCAGCGTGTGAAGATGCCGAGCCGTATGCTGATGGCCACGGTCGTGCTTGACATTGGGTACGAACAGACGCAGGAGGCAATGAAGCCGCTGATGGAGTGCTGGGACATCAACGGCTGCACTTTGATCACAGACGGGTGCACAGATCGTACGTTCCGTCCTGTTGTGGGGAAACCCGGGGAGGGGGCCCTGCTCTTCGCTGAAGTCAGGGGGTACAGTGCCTTTCACTTCACTGTCCCCGCTTCAGAGGTCCTCAACGACCAACAGGGATCTAGGTAGGAGACGCCCTGTCACGCTACCTGTTTTTCTTTTCTCTTTTCTTCTTTATTTGGCATCTTCACACCGCAAGGAGTTTCAATCAGTCAACAATTAAATCGGCTGGTTCAGACAGTAACGAGTTCCAACAGTCAAACGGTAAATCACAAGGTTCAGACAGTAAGGAGTTTCAATAGTCAAACGGTAAATCACCAGGTTCAGACAGTAAGGAGTTTCAATAGTCAAACGGTAAATCACCAGGTTCAGACAGTAAGGAGTTTCAATAGCCAACAGGTAATTCAGTTGTTTCAAGCAGTAATAAGTCTCAATAGTCAACCGGTAAATCGACTGGTTCAGACAATAATGAGTTCCATCGATCAACAAGTAATTCAGCAGGTTTGCACAGGAWAGAGTCTCGACAGTTCTCTTGTTGTTCTTCCTCTTTCTCTCTCGCGCTATTCCCCCTCGCTGTTCTCTCAGTCTCTCCCGCTGTTCTCTCTCTCTCTTCTCTCTCTCTCTCTCTCTCTCTCTCTCTCTCTCTCTCTCTCTCTCTCTCTCTTTTGTTTTCCACCCTGTCATCTGAATCCTTTCTTCCTTTCTATAGAGTCTTCTTGGTCACGTGCACTTTGTAGTGCTTCATGCCTTCTTCCCTTTCAAGGGTACACATTGTCGGACGAATCTTACGTGGCGCACGGGCCAGGTTCATTTAGTCCAAACATTCGCCTTGGCGACTAACATCAAGGGCTCTCCCTGTGCCTTATGACATCTCCCTATCTGCCATGAACGTGGTCTGCTGGCTCATCCAKGTGCTTAAACAAATGAAATAGTCAAGCGAATAAATAGATAAAGAAATTAACCAATTTTTCGTGAGTTGAAAGCAGGATTGGGTCGTGGGGATATACATTGACATAATCTGCGGCCTTGCGCTTCTATCCACCAGATGAAGTCGTAATGCATCTGCAGCAAGAACACTGGAAAATCACATTGCCATAATCTGTACCTGAATTCAACCTGGCGAGCCTGCGCTATCCATCTCATTACGTGGTCGAAGTTTGCGGTTGGTCCGCGTCAATTCCCATGAATAGAATCAGATTAAAGGACTAAGTACAGTAACTGTCGTGCATACCAATCAGCCATCACTTTCTATCTCTACCACTTTCGTACTCATCATTTCTCAACTTTGAGCGGCACAATGTGGCATTGACATGGCTCTATTGAGCCGAGCCAGATAATCATAGCCCTGACAGCGTTTCAGATCAGGTCTACTGATCAAGCCCCAAAGCATGATGGATTCGACTGGCAAGACTGCAATTCTGAGAGAGCAAAATGAACCCAGCGCATAACGTCATCCGGGTGCTTACCCTCATCTTCCTCTTCCTCACTCAAATGGACGCGCTCTCCCATGCTCACTCAAGAAGGCGCTTCCAGCAGCGAGCGACCCTGGCACTAGACACATCCAGGTTCTTCCTCTTACAGAGGTCAGTTTGACCGAACATACCCCTCCGCGTTCTCTGTGCCAGGGAGCGTTCCAGATTTGTTGGTCCCCATGCACTCTCTTGTCACACTGGACCAGAACTGCACCCAACGGGGGCGGCTACATGTCACTCATTAATAGGATGAAAACAAAAGCAACCCTGAGTTGCTGACCTGGCAAGGATGACATCCCCACCACGGTGGCTGTGTTCACCGTCTGTGGGATGGCTATCCCTCTCTCCTCTGAAACTGGCGGGATGGCTATTCCTCTCTTCTCTGAGAATGGGGGCTCTCGTGACCAACGGAAATGACTGTGTTCATCATCAGCGGGACGACGGCGACTTTGGCGATTTTTCGGGCTCAGAGGAATGCACCAAATACTCTGAAAATTTTACCACTCGTAGATTAGGTCGTGATCTTTCCAGGAAAAATACGGAAAAATTAGAAAAAATCATTTATACCGAGAAACGAACACCGCGCCGATTCATTTCATATTCGAGTTTTACCACAGCGGCGTTTGTAGGTCGACGGGAAAGCACTCCAACTTCTGCTTTCCACRTCTCTCCCTCCGACTGCACACTCTCTCTCTGCACACTCTCTGACTATGTGCACTCTCTCTCTCATATCAGAGTTACACATACCTGTTTGCCTGCAAATTTAGGGATCTTACTTAGGGARTGGGAAAACTCGAATAGTTGATCGGCGGAAAGCTCAGCTGCCTAATCAGTGACTCTGGCCGTTCCCGCTAGCAGCAGAAGTACTTGATTGACTGGCCAGCAGAATACTTGATTGCCTGATCAGTGGAGCTGGCCCCTCCCGCTAGCAGCAAGAACTCTTGATTAGTTGGCCAGCAGAAGATGCARCTCCACTCAGCTTGCGCCAACGAGGGTTGTGTACAYCTGACACTCCCCCTTGTAATGTTCGACTGGCACGTACGCATCAGCACTGATAGACGGGTCAAAAAAACCCCATCCCCTTGAATGACTCCCCTTCTTCTTCAGTTCTCCGACAAGCTCTGAAGTCAACCAAGCCAAATCACTGCGTTCACCTGGCGCACGTTCCCCGTTCGCTGAGCACCCACCACTTCGTCTTGCCCTCTGGCCCCGATCATCTCGCGCAATATCCCTCAACTGCACCCCCCAGCGTAACTGCGCCGAGCACACCGTGCACACCTTGCTCACACCGAGTCCCCCCCTTTTTTTTTCATATCTGCCCCGACTATATCCCTTGGGCCCTCAGCCGTTTTCAGCTTCAGCCCTACCAGACCCGGTCCTGAGCAGTCACTGTACTAGTGTAGTCGATCCATCCTATGCCCAACGATCTCAATTTGGGCGAACAGGGCCCCCGCTAGCAAGGAAAATTAACATTACGGAGGCCTAGAAAGAAAATCGGTACCATGAAACCAGTTTCGCACCAGGGACCAAGTTCACAAGCTCAATTGTTGTAACCCGAAACAGTGAGTGTAACGTTACCGTACCAGATCCTTTATACGAGTTTGTGGCCAGGCTGGTCCCAAGCCACCGAGCCGGATTGTCGTGTGATGCCACACATACCTTGCCAGCCAACAGAGCAATCGAACCAAGTGGTCATACCGATCTTGTGACCGTACCGTACTGCCCAGTGAACAACGCATTGCCAAACCAAGACTGAACTTTACCAACGCCGCTCACCGCCGATAGAAGAATCACCGTAGTAGTACCGGCCCCCGGGTCTGAAAGTAGGTTCCAACCAACAGTCCATGTCCATGCCGGATCAATGTCGAACCTGCAAATAATGCAGCGGCGCGTACCTCTCTGATGTCGAACCACTGCTGAGTCTGAAAAATATCGAACACCTCAAAATACCACAATAGCCCATCCCTGTTCCACACTGTAGCAACTCCTACGGAATACCGCGGAATGTAGACGTCGACCCTGAGTGTCGTGTCCTCACCGAATCATCACCGAACTTGAACGATACCGACCTCAAGGTAATGCCTCGCCTGAAAACAAATCAGGTTCCGAACCTGATAAAATAAATGACCGTAGTGGTCTTGGACCTGGTAATAAATGTCAGTGATGTGTCCGAACCTGAAGTACGCTGATGCTGAGCTCATGGCGAACCAGAACTATGTCTGGCACGGAGTTTAATACCACACTGTCGGTCCAAAGTAGCACCATCCCATGCCGTCCACTCGGACATCCTCGGATCACCCCGACTCAGTAAGGTTAGTAATCAGGTAAATCAGGAAAGTGACAGGGAAAATCTCGACCATCGGGGGATAGTGGAAAAATGTTTGATCCCAGAAAAAACGATCAATCCAGGAATAGAGCTAATGGTGGATAATCCAGGCAGAATCAGGCCAAACTTTTAATAATCCTCAGTTCTCGTCCCTTTCATCGCTTTTAGAATCCCTCCTTTTTCCTAATACTATTGTCTGAAATTGTAATATATCCGTAAGTCAACCAAAAATACTCGCTGAGGGAGTTTTAATAAAACAAACGAAATTCCTTTGTTTCTTTTCCTTTTTTCTCGTTTTTAATCTTTTCTTTTGTTTTCGATTCCATTGCCAGAAAACATAAAATAACAGGGTATTTTCCCCAAAACTCAAATGCTGCGAAAAACAAGGAAATTAAGGAATATTACGTTTTTCCTTTCCCTCCTACTGTTCTCAATCTCTTCTCCCATCTTTAATTTAGATACCAAAAATGACAAAAATTCGAGGCGCTATTTTGACCCCGATCATACGCTGCAAAGAACGTCGCAGCGGGGTTAGTCCCCGCGATGCCCCCCCGCGGCAGGCTAATCCGGGTCTAACCCTCTGAACGGCCGGAAATGACGGTCCGTCGATGTGCCGAGTGCGACCACCCATCTCGCCATCTTTGAGGGTTACCTGTAAGGTTCAGTGCGCCCAAAATCAGGGGTACCCTGAGTTCCCCTAATCTATGCTGCCCGGTCAAACCAGAGTATCGTCTAAACACGGACTCGTCTTCGC